CAACTCCAGGTGTAAAGTGAAAGGACACAAGTGCAACTAATGTGACAATTTTATTGTGGCAACGTTTCGCTCTCCAGGAGCTTTGTCAAGCCGGCTTGACAAAGCTCCTGGAGAGCGAAACATTGCCACAATAAAAATGTTACATTAGTTGCACTTGTGTCCTTTTACTTTACATATTGTCGGTAATTCTACCAACTTTATTACAACTCCAGGTGATTTTTTAGTGGCAGGAAATGGAAAAAGGAAATGGAAGGAAATAATAATAGTCCACCACCTTGGAGCCTTGTTGGACTGGAGGCACAGCCAGTGGCCACCCATGGCCCTCCAGAACTACAACTACTTATGCCAATAACAAAATCCCCCCAACAAACACAGAATACAACCTCGTTCATATTTGCTAATATACAGGGCCTTAAGCCATCCACCAACAACAAAATACCTTTTATCAGTGGACTTCCAGAGGAGTCTAATGCAATGTTTGCAGCCTTCACAGAGACCCACACAAAAGATCACTTTGACAGTGAAATATGGATAAGTGGGTACAACCTTTTTGATGCGACAGAAAGAATAGGCAACAAGGGGAGGTTGGCCTGTATGTCAAAGAGTCGCTCATCTGCACGGAGTTGCTGAACACCACAAATGAAGTTGAAGTTCTATCAATAAAGATCGAGAACCAAAACCTAGTCATCGTGGTTGTATATAAGCCACCAGATGCAACCTCCCAACAATTCAAGGAACAGCTACTGAAAATTGATTACTGTCTGGAAAGCCTTCCAGTTCCATCCCCAAACATCTTACTGCTTGGTGATTTCAACCTAAGGCATACAAAATGGAAGAATGTAGCGAATAATGTTACAACAGAAACAATCCCTGGAGGTAGCACAGATGAAAGGTCACACATACATGAGCTACTAAGTCTCTGCGATAAATACACCTTAAGCCAGCATATAGTGGAGCCAACAAGACTAGAAAACACACTTGACCTTCTCTTCACAAATAATGAGGACCTGGTAAGAGACATAATATAAAAAACAATTCCAATCACAATCTAATTGGAGTCCAGACTTACATGCACAGGGGTCCTGATCAGCAAAATGCATGTACCTGTGAAGGTTTCTTCACAAAATACAACTTCAACAACAAGAACATCAACTGGGACCAGGTAAACCATGTCTTAAATGAAACATTTGGGAAGATATCTTAAATAACATGGATCCAAACCAGTGCCTTGAAAGGATCAACTTCCTGGTAGCTGAAGCATGTTTCAGGCATATTCCCCTAAGAAAGAAGAGCAGAAATAAACTGGAGAGAGAAAGACGCTCCCTCTTCAGAAGACGACGAAGAACCACCGAGCTCCTCAGGAACGCTAGAATATCTGGTACACGGATGGAGGCGCCGACCAGGAAATTGGAAACTATCGAACTTAAGTTAAAGGACTCTTAAAGGAACCAGAAGAGACAGGAGGAGCTTAAAGCTATTAGTGAAATTGAAAGAAATTAGAAATATTTCTTTTCATATGCCAAAAACAAGGCAAATACCACATCTAGTATCAGGCCCTTATTCAGACAGGATGAGACTTACAAAGATGACAACAAGGAAATGAGTGAAATACTGAAATCCCAGTACGACTCTGTGTATAATGAGCCACTAATCAGTCTGAGGATCGACGACCCAAATGATTTCATGAATGAGCCTCAAAACTCCATATATGTATGCCAGATTTCTGACATTACCCTAACTCCGACAGACTTTGAAAAAGTCATTGACAACATGTCCATGCACTCAGCCCCAGGCCCAGACTCGTGGAACTCTGTGTTCATTAAGAACTGCAAGAAACCCCTCTCACGTGCCCTAAGTACGCTATGGAGGAGGAGCTTGGACATAGGCGAAATTCCACAGTCACTTAAAACATTGGATATAGCCCCACTCCATAAAGGTGGCAGCAAAGCATTAGCTAAGAACTATAGACTAATAGCTCTAACGTCCCACATCATAAAAATCTTTGAAAGAGTGCTAAGAAGCAGGATTGCAAACCACCTGGACTCCCAAAAACTGCACAATCCAGGGCAACATGGGTTCAGGGCAGGTCGCTCCTGCCTCTCACAGCTACTGGATCACTATGATATGGCCTTGGATGCACTGGAAGAAAATCAGAATGCAGATGTAATATACACAGACTTTAAAGGAATAACTGACAAAGTGGGGAGATGGATCTTCAACTTCCTACCCAATCGAAAACTAAGAGTAGTGGTCAACAGAGTTAAATCCGAGGCCGCCATAGTGAAGAGCTCTGTTCCACAAGGCACAGTACTCACCCCCATCCTGTTCCTCATCCTCATATCAGACATACAGATATGTAACCCACAGCACTGTATCATCCTTTGCAGACGATACTAGGATCTGCATGAGGCTGTCATCTATTGAGGACACGGTTAACCTCCAAGAAGATATAAACAAAGTTTTCCAGTGGGCAACGGAAAACAATATGATGTTCAATGAGGACAAATTCCAACTACTCCGTTATGGAAAACTGGAGGGGATAATAACTAGAACAGAGTATACTACAAACTCTGGCCATACAATAGAGTGGAAAAATAATGTAAGGGACCTGGGAGTGGTAATGTCTGAAGATCTCACTTTCAAGGATCACAACAGTGCCACGATCACAAGTGCAAAGAAAATTATACGATGGATAATGAGAACGTTCAAAACGAGAGATGCCAAGCCAATGATGATCCTTTTCAAATCACTTGTTCTCTCTAGGCTGGAGTACTGCTGTACATTAACATTTCCGTTCAAAGCAAGTGAAATTGCAGATCTAGAGAGTGTACAGAGAACCTTTAATGCACGTATAAGTTCTGTCAAGCATCTTAACTACTGGGAATGGTTGGAAGCACTTGACTTGTACTCGTTGGAACGCAGGAGAGAGATATATCATAATCTACACTTGGAAAATCCTGGAAGAAATGGTCCCGAATCTACACACAGAAATCACTCCCTACGAAAGTAAAAGACTGGGCAGGCGATGCAAAGTGCCCCCAATTAAAAGTAGGGCACCATTGGTACACTAAGAGAAAACACCATAAGTGTCCGGGGCCCCAAGACCGTTCAACAGCCTCCCACCAAGCATAAGGGGAATTACCAATAAACCCCTGGCTGCCTTCAAGAGAGAACTGGACAGATACCTAAAGTCAGCGCCGGATCAGCCGGGATGTGGTTCGTACGTTGGACTGTGTGCGGCCAGCAGTAACAGCCTGGTTGATCAGGCCCTGATCCACCGGAAAGCCTGGTCGTTGACCGGACCGCGGGGGCGTTGTTCCCCGGAATAACCTCCAGGTAGACTCCAGGTAGGTAGGCAGTGCCTAGAAGCTAATGAGGGCTCTTGAACCAAGAAATTGGAGCTGCCCTCCCTTTTCTATAATCTACTCCGATTACATCCTATTCCCTAAGGCGCTATATGAACCCTACGGGCTTATGTTTCCCCATGAAATAAATAAAACAAAAGTTTGAAGAAAATGACGCGTTTGCCCACCAATATGGCGAGAACAATTGCTTCAGTCATGGACTACAATCACTTCACATGAAACGCCGGGTCAATCAGTGTATTCAGCACTACCCTGAAACCTACACCCAATACAGCATCTCAAAAACTGTAAAATACAAATTATCGTAACGAAACTAGTCCCAAAATTGAAGGAAATTAACTATGATAGGAATTAAATAACTAAACCTGATGAAAGAGGATAGAAAAAAACTGGGAAGGCATGATCCCGAGGTACAAGATACTAAGGATCTGATATGGTTAAGATTTCGAAAGAAGGAAGAAAAGAGCACGGGGGCACAGATTCAAGTTAAAGATGCAAATGAGCCACTGGGATGTCAGGAAATACTTCAGGCTTAGGGTGGTCCGAAGTGTTCGTCCTGGATGAAGTGGTGGAGGCAGATTCATAAAGATTTAAGAATAGGTATGATAGTGTCCACAAACGGAGTAACTTGGACACTGCTTGTTAAGAGGTGGAGACAGCTCAGAGTCGGCCCCCGCAACCACTAATCAAATATGGTAGCCCACACCAATTCTCCGGCGAGAGGTAGTAGCAACAATAAGGTGGTTCACGCTACTACTAACGTGTTTGAGGTGGGAGTGTAAAACTGCCAACTGGTATATTCACCGTCCGTACTGAAAAAAAGGACCTTGAACTGCTGATAAGTCGTGACAGTGAGGCAACTCAAGCCACGTTAGAACAAAGGAGTTAATTGTCCCGGATGAAGCTCTCACTAAGATGTAAAGATGTTGCACAAATAAAATTAAATTTTTAAGTTTTCGGTTCGTTTCGTGTTTTTTATTGTAATAAAGTTGGTAGAATTACCGGTAACGGCTTGACAAAGCTGGAGAGCGAAATGTTGCCACAATAAAAATGTCACATTAGTTGCACTTGTGTTTTTTATTGCATATATCTAAAAATAGTATTTCAATTGTATGTATAAGTAATATCATTTTTACCTTGTAGCTGAAATTATAGCGATTCAGAAATACATATGTAAAAAATGAAAAGAATATAACACTAAAGAATAGTTTAGCTAAAACAGAGGGAGGCAAATATGTGGTTAATTTGCACAATGATTCTTGCATAAACCAGAGTTTATGGTATCTTCTTACTAATTTCTCCGGTTAAATACGATCGTCCTGTTCCTGGCATTTTTTTTTTTAAGTGAGGCTAGAGTTTCTTACTGGAATTCTCAATATCTTCTTCCGTTGGTATCTTTTTAATTTAAGACAAGCTAAGCCTTATTTATATTAAACACAGATATTTTTATGAAATGCTCGTTTTTATTATTAATGGTTACATTAAGCCCATGATTATAGACATTGCGGAAAAAAATGTAATTAGTATCCTATCTAACTCTCTTTATGTTCAATAAAAGGAATATGTCAAGAGGAAAGTTTTTATTGTATACAGTATTAACATACACTACATAGGTATGGGTGTGTGTGGTGGTACCTGTCGACTGAGGGAAGAAAGGGTAGCTGCTCTGCTGAGACAACAGCACCGTGGACGGTTACATTGCGACCGTCAGTACTGCCTACGTCAACGCTAAGGCCACCCGCTGACCGCACCGTCAACTGATTAATGGACTGAAAGGTAGCCTGCTCCGGCGAGAGAGAAGGCAGACGCGGAAAACTGTTCTGTTGGCAGGATGCCGCCTGTGGCTGGTGGTTGAGGTTAGGGTAGGCTGGCAAAGTGGACACCCGGTGCATCCCTACCGGTCGGCCACCTACACACCTCCCGGAGGAGTTCTTAGATAACATGGGGGAAGACACGGGATCAGAGGGTAGCACAACAGATGCCAGAGATGGTGGAATGTCACCGAGTCCATATTTTGATTGCGGATGTATTAAATTCGACTGAGGGTGAAATAAACTGGATTGTGGGTTTAGTAATGAGGACCCACCAATGCCGTATTCCCGACGTGAGGTTGTAGGTACTCGCTGGAGGCCGTACTCTGAGCGCTGGTACGAGGAGGGAACCATACCAGTGATGGTGTGATAAGGGTTGTAGGGGTCAGCACCTCCCATGGTGTTCCCCACCGTGCTCTGGGATGGGCCGTAGTGGATGGCACCCACTCGTGCCCCTGACATAGTCTGGTACGGGATGTACTGGATGGTACGGTAGGGACAATAGGGTGTGGTGCCTGCACTAATACCTGTCACAGTCTGGAAGGGGTTAGCCATCAGCCTGCCCATGGCAGCCCCCCTTGCGTTATTGTAGTGAGGGTAGGCGCTGCCAGGTGAAGGAGTGGTACGTGGTGGATAAGCGCTTCCAGGTGAGGGAGTGCTACGTGGTGGATAAACGCTTCCAGGTGAGGGAGTGCTACGTGGTGGATAAGCGCTTCCAGGTGAGGGAGTGCTACGTACAGGGTAGACGCTTCCAGGTGACGAAGCAGTACGTGGTAGGTAGGGGCAAGAGGCCTGCTCTGTTGTGGAGGTCGTAGCGAGAGTAGGGCCATCGGCCTCTGTTACCCCATCACTGAGTTTGGGGCGTGGTTCACTGCCGTTAACTGGAATAACGAAGAATATGTGCTTCCCTCCCTGTAGCTGCCTCCCAGCTGGGCAGGCCTCCTGTGATGTTTGAGTGTGTAGGGTGGGGAAGTCACATGCCCCGGGCACCGTGCCCACTACGGCTACCTCACTATCCACACTTAAGCCACCTGTTTCCTCCTCCGTGGGAAGATAAAAAGTGTGTTGTGGACCCACTATATCCTGAGTAGAGGTTTCATTACTCGAAACATCTAGAGAATCTGGGCTAAACGGAAGGTGTTGTCTCGAGTCACTTTCATCACACACAAGATCACCATTCACTGTACACACATTTATAGTAGGAACCTGGGACACACACGAGAACTCTTTATTTCCCATTAAAGTTTTAGCATTAACACCAGCCACACTGGCAAGCTGAGGCATGTTATCGGGGTCAGCAGTTGTGTTACTCAAGCCACTGCTTGCACCTTCACTCGCAGAAAGCAATGGTTTTTGCTCTTGTTCCAGAGATAAAATACTCTCTCTACTACCATATTTCACCTCGGGGTCAACTCTAGCCTCTCCGTCGGGCATGATGGCGACAATATGATGTATGAGAGTTTGAACACTATACACGTGGTAGGTAAACTGGAGGTGAGTAGCGCTGATACTCTCCTTTCACTGTCTAGCATAACACTGAGGTGCTGCCACCTTCAGGGGTCCTTAAACATCTCTCCTCACCCTCGCTGTCTAGTCCTCACATACCCACCACCTTCTTCCTCTCTATCAATTTCATTCCATAAAAAAAATGCCCAAGTACCACTCATTTTAAACTCTTGTAATACTCATTACTCCATACAATTCCTAAAGTAGCGATATTTATTTTGTCACCAGCACCAGACAAAAAAGGGAATAAGTAATAACTAACTGTTATTCTCATTGCGTTCATGACGCAGCTCTGGGTAGCCAACTCGTGTTCAGTGCACTAATGTATTATATCATAATATTTACGTCATGAACACATGGACACTGTTAATAACTTTGTACGTGCAGTGATATTTTATTTGTGACTCTTGAAATCCAAGTCACATTTTAAAATACTACTACTACTAATAATAATAATAATGGTAATTAAATATACAGAGAATAAAACGAAAGGCTTCTCGATACAAGTATCAGTTGAATACACAAGAAATTTCGGCAAATTTCCTAAATAGCCAAATTTACGATCACAGCATAGACTGGGAGCATGCATCCTTGCTGCGACATCGTTGTAATTACAAATGAAAATTAATTAAATCAGCTGTCATTGTAGGTGTTGTCAACGTTAACATCTCAAGGGAACAGAGGAAAAGATGCTATCACAACATTGGTACTGAAGTCATTTGTTCTGAACTCACCTTCCTTTAACAGGGTTGTCTTGACGCTTGATAGAAGAAATAAGGACTATTATGTTTCTCTGGACCGGATCTAACTGCCTCCCACTCCCCAGGCACGGTATGACCCCTACAGATTTAATTTAGACAAATGCAAAGTTCTAAATGTTGGACAGGAAAATAACCATGCCACATATAAACTAAATAATGTAGATCTTAATACTACTGATTCCGAAAAGGATTTAGGAGTTCTGATTAGCAGTAATATAAAACCAAGACAACAGTGCATTAGTGTTCGCAATAAAGCTAACAGAATTCTTGGCTTCATATCTAGAGGTATAAATAATAGAATGCAACAGTTAGACAACTTTATTCCGAAACGTTTCGCCTACACAGTAGGCTTCTTCAGTCGAATACAGAAAGTAGGCAGGAACAGTAGAGATGTGAAGACGATGTAATCAGTCCATCACCCTTAAAGTCGTAGAATTTGAGGTTGTCAGTCCCTCGGCCTGGAGAAGTTCAGTTCCATAGTTCCTGACTATGGAACTGAACTTCTCCAGGCCGAGGGACTGACAACCTCAAATTCTACGACTTTAAGGGTGATGGACTGATTACATCGTCTTCACATCTCTACTGTTCCTGCCTACTTTCTGTATTCGACTGAAGAAGCCTACTGTGTAGGCGAAACGTTTCGGAATAAAGTTGTCTAACTGTTGCATATGTGTCTTACCTAACAACCTGTCGGTATTGTATACCATTTTGATGTTCAAATAATAGAAGTCCTCAGGTTGTTCTTCAACTCTATATATCCTTGGTTAGGCCTCATTTAGATTATGCTGCTCAGTTCTGGTCACCGTATTACAAAATGGATATAAATGCTCTGGAAAACGTACAGAGGATGACAAATTGAAGATTGAGACACTTATGCAGCATATGGGAATCTTTATTCAGGAAACGTTTCGCCACGCAGTGGCTTCATCAGTCCAATACAAAGAGGAAGGCGTAAGGAGAGGAGGAGAATGAGGTAATCAGTCCCTCAACCTGGAGTCGATGTGTTCAGTCCATCAATCTTGTAGAAAGTACAGCATAGGGCCGTAGACGTGGCTTATATACTGTAGTGAGGTGACGTGAAGCAGATGGAGGCGGGGTCATAGTGGTATCATCCACTAGTCGAAGTAGGTCTTCGTCCAAAGGTTGAACAAGTGTTGAAGAATTCTTTGTAACAAGATCCCATGATGCTGCAGTGTCTGACAGTTGTGATGAATGGTTTGAAAAACCGACAAGTTGAAGATTGAGACACTTATGCAGCATATGGGAATCTTTATTCAGGAAACGTTTCGCCACGCAGTGGCTTCATCAGTCCAATACAAAGAGGAAGGCGTAAGGAGAGGAGGAGAATGAGGTAATCAGTCCCTCAACCTGGAGTCGATGTGTTCAGTCCATCAATCTTGTAGAAAGTACAGCATAGGGCCGTAGACGTGGCTTATATACTGTAGTGAGGTGACGTGAAGCAGATGGAGGCGGGGTCATAGTGGTATCATCCACTAGTCGAAGTAGGTCTTCGTCCAAAGGTTGAACAAGTGTTGAAGAATTCTTTGTAACAAGATCCCATGATGCTGCAGTGTCTGACAGTTGTGATGAATGGTTTGAAAAACCGACAAGTTGAAGATTGAGACACTTATGCAGCATATGGGAATCTTTAGACTGATGAAGCCACTGCGTGGCGAAACGTTTCCTGAATAAAGATTCCCATATGCTGCATAAGTGTCTCAATCTTCAACTTGTCGGTTTTTCAAACCATTCATCACAACTGTCAGACACTGCAGCATCATGGGATCTTGTTACAAAGAATTCTTCAACACTTGTTCAACCTTTGGACGAAGACCTACTTCGACTAGTGGATGATACCACTATGACCCCGCCTCCATCTGCTTCACGTCACCTCACTACAGTATATAAGCCACGTCTACGGCCCTATGCTGTACTTTCTACAAGATTGATGGACTGAACACATCGACTCCAGGTTGAGGGACTGATTACCTCATTCTCCTCCTCTCCTTACGCCTTCCTCTTTGTATTGGACTGATGAAGCCACTGCGTGGCGAAACGTTTCCTGAATAAAGATTCCCATATGCTGCATAAGTGTCTCAATCTTCAACTTGTCGGTTTTTCAAACCATTCATCACACAGAGGATGACAAAGTTGATCCATGTATCAGAAATCTTCCCTATGGGGATAGACTGAGGGCCCTGAATCTGCACTCTCTCGAAAGGCGTAGAATTATGGGGGATATGATCGAAGTGTATTAATGGAAAACAGGAATAAATAAAGGGGATGTAAATAGCGTGCTGAAAATTTCCTGCCAAGACAGGACTCGCAGCAATGGTTTCAAGTTGGAAAAATTCAGATTCAGGAAGGATATAGGAAAGCACTGGTTTGGTAACAGAGTTGTGGAACAAACTCCCGAGTACAGTTATTGAGGCTAAAACGTTGTGTAGTTTTAAAAATAGGTTAGATAAATACATGAGTGGGTGTGGGTGGATGTGAGTTAGACCTGCCTAGCTTGTGATGCTGGGTCTGGTGCCGTGCTCCTTCCTTGAGCGGAGGTGACCAGACTGGGTGGGTCATTGGGCTAATCCGGGGGGGGGGGGGAGGACATGGACCTGCTCCGCATGGGTCAGTAGACCTGTTGCAGTGTTCCTTCTTTCTTATGTTCTTATGTATCAGAGACAGGAAGGTGAAACTGAGGCTGTTTCCCAGGAGCTGGTGTTGGTGACATAGTCAACAGGTAGGTTAATATAACGTCAAATAATGAGAACAAAGCCATTCTTTGTCTCGGTACTGGTGGAAATGATATTGGGAAGGTCAGAAGGCAGGAGTTGTTAGTTAAGTGCAGGACAGCTATACGTCTAATTAGAGCCAAAAGAGGGGTCCCAACCATATGTAGCATTTTGGCCAGAAGAGGAGTGGATAATGAGCAGATCTCTAGGGCAATAGTGGAAATTGTGATGAATGGTTTGAAAAACCGACAAGTTGAAGATTGAGACACTTATGCAGCATATGGGAATCTTTATTCAGGAAACGTTTCGCCACACAGTGGCTTCATCAGTCCAATACAAAGAGGAAGGCGTAAGGAGAGGAGGAGTATGAGGTAATCAGTCCCTCAGCCTGGAGTCGATGTTTTCAGTCCATCAATCTTGTAGAATGATGGACTGAAAACATCGACTCCAGGCTGAGGGACTGATTACCTCATACTCCTCCTCTCCTTACGCCTTCCTCTTTGTATTGGACTGATGAAGCCACTGTGTGGTGAAACGTTTCCTGAATAAAGATTCCCATATGCTGCATAAGTGTCTCAATCTTCAATAGTGGAAATTGCTCGATAGACAAATATTGCAAAAACCTGCAGTCCCATTCTTTGTCAACTGGGATAATTTCTATGGCAAACTTGATATGTATACAAAGAAAAAAGAGGATAAAGTACATCTCCCTTGGGCAAGAGTAGTAGTGTTAGCCAACCCTATTGATGGGGTCGTTGCTAAGTTGTTTAGGACTAAACTTATAGAAGATAGAGGTATGGGTGTGTGTGAAAAGCAAATGGGTTACAACATGAGGGATGAAAGCAGCAAAAACTGCAAAGATACCTCAAGTATATGTTCAAAAGGCATGACTGTTCGTATAGTTGCTAATAAAAGCAAAACGGTTGGTCAACAAAGGCATTAGAGGGTGGCAAGTGACCAACTTCCTTAATTAAAGTCTACTGTACTCATAGAAATGCTAGAAATAAAATCGACGAACTGGGATTAATTGCTTGTACGGGAATCATAGATATTATTGCAATAACAGAACCATGATTCAACCTGGGTGGCTAGCTGGTCCAGTGGCTAACGCGTCGGTATGGAGTTTCGAGACTCTCTGATCGGGGGTTCTATCCCCGCCCGTGGTATCTGATTCAACCTGAATGTCACATACAAGGCTATAAATTATTCCACATGGATAGGAAGAGTGGTGGAGTGGTAATATATGTCAGAGATAATTTAAACTGTTGCATTATACATAATATAAAAGTGGAAGCAACAGACATTGAATCTATTTGGGTACAGTTTTTCGAGGGGCGAATAAGGTAAGCCTCTACAGGACGAAATTATTAAACAAACTATTTCTTTATGCAGTACACAAAATATAGTTTACATGTAATAAAATATTTAGGCATAAAAGAAAGCCACTAGCATGTTGTGTATTTCTAGAGGTGAAAATATTGTTTGAAAGGGAGATTTAAGCTTTAGCCAATTTGATTGGAACAGTTTGACAGATACGGTACAAGATGGTGTTTAAAAACAGTTCGGCGTGCGTTACTATCTTTGACTCTGGTATTTAGGTCTCTGGAGGTTTCACCGACGTAAATCTTGTCATAACCTCCAGATGTTATGATATAGGCGCCGGCAATTTTGTTCATTGGCTTTATTTACTTGACTAAGTCTTCTGTGGTTTTAGATGAAGTGTTGGTG